TGAGAAAAGATTCCAGGATCTTTTAGTCGAACTAACATTTTAATATTTAATGGATCTTTCAGTCAGAGCCACTTTAGTCAAAAGAAGATTATAATTTCCTCCTGTGCTCATTGATTATTATTATTATTTATAGTGCAGTATGCCTCATGTAGCTCCCACTCCTAAGTGAAGCCTAAGATAATGCATCTCTAATTAACCCTCAAGCAACCTAATCTAAAAGAACTGAGGTTGGGGGGCAGTCATACAAGTATTCCTGTATATTTTATACTGATATACTGACTGTGTTTATACTGTAAACTATTTATACAGCGCTAAATCACAACATCAGTCGCCTCGAGTCGCTTTATATTGTAAGGTAGGTCCTACAATAATACATACAGAGAAAAACCCATCATATGACCCCCTATGAGCAAGCACTTTGGTGACAGTGGGCAAAACCAGGCTCAGGGAGGGGTGGACATCTGCCGCAACCAGTTGGGGTGATATCTTTCCATTAAATATTATACCAATGGACCAGTTCATATGAAATGCTGTCTGGTGGCCTCTGGATCATTTGCCCTGTTTTGTAGATGATGTGGTTCTATTGGCATCAATGTGAGTGGACCTCCACTTCATACTGTAACAGATTGTAGCCAAGTGTGGAGCAGATGGGATGAGAATTAGGACCTCCAAGTCTGAGATCATGGTTCTCAACTGGAAAAGTGTGGAGCTGCTGCCCCAAGTTGAGGTATTGGTTTGTTGTATTGACAAGAGAGCAGGCCGTGAAAGCTATTGGTTAAAAGTCTACATTTTACTCTCGCCTATAGCCAAGAGCTTTAGATAGAGACCAAAAGAATTATTATTATTATTATTATGGGAATAAGCGGTGGACACGAGCTTCCTCCATATGTCTGCTCCTGCCATAGAGACAGGCTGAAGGGCTTGAAGTAGAACTGCTAGTGCTTCACATTGAAAGGAGCCAGTTTGGCCATTTGATGTAAACGCCCACTGAGGACCTCCCAGTGTAGGTGTTTTGGGGCAGACCCAGGACACACTGGAGAATCACATCTCTATGCTGGCTTAAAAGTGCCTCAGTATTGCCCAGAAAAGATGGAGGAGGTGGCTGGGAAGATGAAGGCCTGGACATCTTACTCAGACTCCTGCCCCCACAACCCAAACCCTCAGAAACAGCAGAAAATCAATGGATGTGCAGATGGATGTATGGATGTAAAGTTGTAGGAGAACAATGACAACTGATGGAAGGAAACCTTTTTAATATTAAAAATATAATAAAATCACATAGAAATATCAGACTATTCTGTCAGTTGAATTTTAGACTGTGCACTCTATACAAGACGTGCTGACAGGATGCACCAGCTGATGAAGGTTGGCATTGAGATGAGATGAGCTGGTCTGGTGGGATTGTAGCTGAGCTTGATTTTGTGGACTGCCAGAACTGAAACTATGTTTACTTTTGTGTGTGTGTTTTTATGCTTTCACTGGAGACGGTTCTGAGCAAAGAGGAAATGAGGACTGAGCCAGAGGGGATGACATGCAACAAAGAACCCCAGCTGGACTCTAATCAGGAGGATTCTGGGATTACACGGTCAGTCTCAAACCCACAGGCCTCCAGGATGCACACTGACTTTTTAAAACTTAAGCACAACTATATTTGAGTTTCTTTAATATACTCACACTAACAGTCTATTGATCAAGACAAAATGTGATGTTAGGCGGTTTAACAATGTCACAAACAAAACTGCAAAACCTACTTATGCCTTTAAAAGAGAAAATGATCTGCTTTCCAATAGAAATGTATCTTAAATTATTACAAAGCTTGGACCACTGTGAAGTGCAATCGAAGTGTAAGTGCAGTTCTACACACATCTGGCACAGCTACAGTAATTGACACCCAAAGGTAACATCCTCTCTGTCATGACAGAGACACAGGAGAGCGAAATCTGTTTGTGAAGGATGCTTACAAGTAAAGTTGGGTTTCCGCTTGACATTTAATATCGCTTCAGTTTTCCTTTAAGGACAGGTCAAGTGTCTGCCAGAATGTGTAATATGCGGGGAGAGAAAGGAGCTGAGGACACCAAGCATTTGAGACTACGGATAAAGGTCAGCGAGGAGAGAGGAGAAAAAGTAGGTGTCAGTATCCACAAGATCCAAAGACTTCAGAAAAGCATCTGAGAAGGATTTGCTAAAAGAAGAAAAAGTGGCAA